CCCTTTCCCTTTTTTTGCAGCCTCACTCATGTTCTTCTACCATCTTTGGCCTCTTGGGCTTCATGGTTTTCTTTCCATCTGCGTTAACACATGTTCATGTCTGATAGATATTAAATACTTTACACCTTCTGCCATATTTTGAATTTTTTATAATTTTTTTTCATTTCTTTTACCACCCACATATTTCAAAGTATTGTCAACATTCCTTTGTCTCTGATTTCTTAACATTTCTCTTTTATTTTCTTGGAGACTGGGTTGTAATCTCCCACTATTATATTCAGTCAGCTGTCATTAACATAACCACTGTAGCCTTTCTAGTCCAGGGGTCAGCAAACTTTTCCTATAAAGGGCCAGATAGTAAATATTTTGGCTTTGGGGGCCATAAGGTCTCTGTTTCAACCATTTAACTCTGTGGTTGTAGGGCAAAAGCAGCCAGAGACAGTACTTAGACGAATAGGTATGGCTGTATTCTAATAGAACTTTACAAAAACAGGTGGCAGCTGAATGGTCCAGAGATCCATAGTTTGCTGACCAGTCTTCTAGCCTAATCTAATCTAGCTGACCTTTATCATAAAACTGTAGGTTGTCAGGATTGGAGGATCATTTAAAGATGATCAAATTTATATACTTCTTTTTATACCTGAAGAAACAGAGTATCAGAGATCTTAAAGTACTTTGGTCACAGAGCTAGAAAGCTGAAATCTGATGAAAGAAGCCTAAATAGATCACCAATATCATTTCTATTCACCATAGGACATAGATTTGCCAATATTTTGCTTCCGTCTTTGTGGTTTATCTATGATTCTTGCTTTTGTTAACATCTTTTTTTCACTCTTCTCTCTACAAATAGTTTTCAACTTTATTAAAATACAGTTTTCTACAAATAAAGAGTTAGTAAGCAGTGCAGTATAACATTCAAGATCATGGTTTGAATTTAGACATTCTGAATTTCACTTTACCACTACTTACAAGTTTTATGAGCTATGGGAAATTTACCTACCCTCTCTGAGCCTCTCCTCACCCACCTTCCATGCCATCAGCACAGTGATCTTTCTGAAACTCAGGTGTTAACCCTATACCTTAAGGGACTTCATTGTTTCTCTGTTATCCTTGGAGTAAAGTAAGATTCCTTAATGTGACATTAAACCTACTTCATAGCCTGTCTCCATATTCCTTTATGGTCTCATCAATGGCCACTTCCACTTCAGATCAGTGTTCTGGCCATATCTGCGTACTCAGTATCATTTGTGTGTTATTCCTTCAGCTTGAGTCACCTCTTCCATCTTATCCACTGGAAGACTACTTATCCTTCAAGATCCGTCTGTCTACCTAAAATGTCACTCTTATCTGTAGGTTTTCCTTATCTTTCCTACTTCCCAGTCAGCATTACTTTTTCCATCATTTGTGTTCATATATCACTTTCTACATACCTTGAGCACATTCATTATGGTATCTATCATGATGAAGTATAGTTATTGTGTTTATATTTATTAGTATTAGGTATTTTTCTAATAAGATTGTGCATACTTAAGGGAGAGGCCAGGTTTTTGAATTTTGTGCCTCTAGCATCTAATATATTGGCTTTAGTAATATTTAAAATATTTTTCAAATTTAATTTTAATTGAATTGAGTTGCCTCTGTGATTAACTCAGTGCCAGTGAGGCTCAAAGTACTCAGTCCAGCCAGATCATTGCAGCTACATTATTTTTCAGATTCCATTCTGTCCTTCCTCTGATCCAAGATGCTCAGTTTACCAAATATGACCACTTTTGTCTTATTATTATCTGTCTAAGAACTTATGACACCTTCTGTTATCTAGATTTTTCTAAATTCTTCTACTAGTTATTCAGTAACTCTATATTTGGCCTCACTGTGCTTAACCAAAATTTTAACTAATTCCAACCTGGATTTCCTTCTTTAGTCAATAAGCCTCCCCTAAATAGGTTTACTTTCCCCACAGATGACTTTGACAGGCCTTCTTTCTGACTCACAGGGTCGTCTTTTCTTTTTCTATTGAAATCCAACCCTTCTCTATTGTCCATCTTCCTTCATACAACCATTCTTTACTAATATTGTTGATATTTGTATCCTTATTCTCTGAACCTCAAACCTGAATTATGCAGTTGAGGCTTCTCACATCATGTAGAAATGAACTATTACTGTTTGGTCATTTATTTATTTCATATTATCATTGCTGATTATTCAGTATTTGTTCAATAAATGACTGAGTCTCAGGAGTCCAGTAAGAGAAGAGAGAATCTCTTTTCATTTTCAAGGTCACCTGACCTTCAGAATAACTTTTGCACCTCATTCCCTGTGCTCGTTCTTTTTTTTTTTTTTAAATCTAAGACATTCTAATTGTGTACTTGTCTTGTATGCAATAAGGAATTAACAAATCACCATAAGACATATCCACTGCTCTCCTGGAACAAATACTTGAATAATTTTCACAGACTTTATATATATGTTAAGTTATTAAATATTTTGAAAATGTGTTTTGAAATTCTAAGAAAGAGGTGGATTATTTAGGCTTAAATAATTGAGTTTCTGTAAGTAAATGAGATTAGAGTAGTAGGGTAAGTTTCTAGATGGTCAGGGAAGGTCAGATTATGGGAAAGGATAAAAAGAGAAAGTACTTTGGTTGATCCTTGAAAATCCAAACTGTTAGGTTTCCCATGGATCATTAAGAAAAATCTATATTTGTATACAGATTTATAGCCTGTATTTCTTGTTCTTATTTAATTTCAATAAAATATATTTTAATACTAAAGCTGGATGATTTTATTAACATAAATGACCTATATTTTACTTAAGTTGTATAGTTTATTTAAGTACATACAATTACCTAATTACAGTGATCTAATTTTAATCTATTTTCAATCATGGATTGATTAAAGTAAGCTAAGAGTTAACTCAGAGTTTCTTAGAATCAGCTCAAACTAAATCTTTTCACTTAGAATCAGATCTGAGCTTGGGGCTTGGGCATACTTCAGAACTTCACATCTCTTGTAGACTTTCATTAGTCTCAAAAGATTCCTACCTTTACTTCTCTCAAGTGGCAGTGTCTTCACTGTCACTGTTAATTTGTCCACTGTATTCTCCCACACTATTCCTTAACCTATTTACTTCTTCCATTCCATTTTGTTTTTCTCCAGATTCAAGTTCATATTTGGGATCAGATGGTATCAAACCTCTTTTATATGTATCATTGCCAATGTTTTTGTCTCACTGATGCATATTTATCTCTTCCAGCAGAGGACCCATTAATTCTTCTGATTTATTCCAGGTTTCAAGACATGGCCTGAAATAGAAGTATTGCCTCCTGAACAGGACATTTCTATAGAAGAAACATCTCAGGGAATAATAAAGAAAAAATCCATTAAGTTTGGTCACTTGGATGTCACGTTTGGAGAAACTTTGGAATTTGAGGGCAGGAGACAGCAAGAGCAACAGAAGAAACCTCTGAGGCAAATGATGGCCTCACACACAAAAACCATCAGTGAAGCTGGAAACCAGACAAGTCTTGAATTAGGGAAAG